AACTCCTAACATCACCGGGCCTAACAATATTGAGGCCCCAGTCCAAAAAAAAATTTGTACCAAAACAATTGAAAAATCTACTCTATTAAAATAGAGTCATTATTTTTATCTATTATTAAAAGTTGTCATTAAATTTTGGATTTATTCATTAACTTCACTAGCATTAACACACGTGACATAATATTTACATATTTACGTTATATAGTTGGCAAGTCCCTAAAACTAAACCAAAACTAATTAAATCTAACCAAACGGAATCTGTTACCTAATAGAATAAGATCATAATAACATAATTTAACGAAAGACATATCTAATCAATTACTCTATGCATTAACTGATGTTTCTTAATGGTAGCAGGCCATTGTGCTTATCTTAAGTCATATTTTTTCTGAAACACGATTTTCTGTCGTCAAATTCTCTTTACAACACACCATAATAAATGTTTTTCCTCACTGAAATAAAGTCTCATACTTTTTCATCATACTAATCATTCAAAAATATAATAGAAAAAAATGTGGTTTAATCAAAATAGGTTCGTTTCCCAATTTAATAACTTTTAAATAACTTTTAAATAACTTTTTCTAGCAACAAACTAATTTTACAATGAATATCTATCTTATTAAATCAGAAACATGGTATTGGATATAACATTTATTTTGTAAGTTTTTAAATTAAATACACTTTTCTACATTATAGTTAAACCTAAATTAAATCATTAATATTCTTTTTTTATACTACTATCCATCTTTCCAAACGATATATTTATTTCTTTATACTACTATTAATGTTTCCAAGCAAAACTATAATTAATCTTATGTCCAGACAATATAAAATCTAAATCTCATCTTTTTAATATTATTAATAATTTTTAACAATTTCTTTCAAGTTATTTAGATAAATTAAATAATTTAATAAATTCAAATAATTTATAAAACAACAAAAAATAAATAAAAATTATTTTTACAAGTTTAAATATTACATATCGGTTATTCATCGATTGAATCGGTTGGTCTTGGGTTTCAGTGATTTTTTAAATATGAATATTTTTTAAAAAAAAATCGAAATCGGATTATCGGATAACTGGATTAACCTGTTAAACTGCGGGTCCGGGTCAAATTTAAAAACACTAATTTAAAATAAAAATATTTTAAATACATAAATTCTTTCAAAATAACAAAATAATTGTTATTATTAATGAAATTTTTCATCATAAAAAATCCCGCGTTTGTAAAACGCGGGTTAAAATCTAGTTATATTTAAAATATACAAACAAAACAAATTTATCTAAAAAACAAAAATGAAGAGGTAAAAATAAATTATTTAGCTTTAAGTAGTATATATTATTTTAGAAGTTCTATATTTTTAATATAGAGTATGTTTATGTAGAAAGTAATTATTTTTCAAAAAATTAATAGGTAAAAAAGAAAAAAATTAAAATTGGGGACCCTTATATAGAGGGGACCATATTCAAATGTTTCACTCCAATGGACTCAGGCCCGGCCCTGACGATAAACATGAACTAGTTATGATGAATGCAGCAAAACTTTTGTAATCTGGTAAGATTAAAATATTTTCACTCAATAAATGTGTTTTTGTTCAGTAGGCTGAGAAATGAGTTTGATTCACAGTGATTGTATATTTATAAGAAAAAAATGGTAAACACAAATGGTAAAATTTTACAATAAAGAACTAAAATTAAAAGAAATAAATTCTGAAATTCACTAACTCTATTAATGACATTTTCTACTATTTTGTACAATAAAAAATTATCTTTTTTTTCTTTCTGAAACTAAAACTAAAATTGTAATCTTTTCATCAATTGCGTCCCAAGCAACAGTCACACTTTACAACACCACACATACATCATTTTTTCTCCTAGCTTCTACCAACTACCGGGGAGGAACTCTCTTACGGCTCAGTATTTCGCGTTTCTCCGGACCTGGGCATTCTTATCTCAATCCGAAATACCGACTTTAACCCGAACCAGAAAAATCGAAACTGAATCCGAACTCTTTTACAAAAATATCTGAATGGAACTTATGAACCTACTACTTTGGACTTTAATTATAACCCGAACCGAACCAAAATCCGACTTAGGATCCGAAGGTATCCGAAATTAGTTAAATATGTTAATATTTTTATATATATTAAGGTGATTTATATATTTTATAGTATTCGAAATATTTTTTTAGTTTGCTTTATATGTTATTTTGAATACCTTTTAGTTAATTTTGATAGTTTAACTAATTTTTAATTACATTTGTAAATAATTTATATATTTTGAAAAAAATTTGTCAACTTTTGAGGTTTTAAATATATATTTTGAACGATTTTAAACATTAGTTTGATCCGATCCAAACCGAACCCGGAAGAAATCGAACCAAACCCGATCCGATAATTAGTAAAAAACGAATGGTACTTATGAGCATATACCGAAAATTAGAAAATTCGAATCACCCGGACCAAAACCGAATGGGCGACCGAACACTCAGGCCTAGTGTTGGAACCGACCGACCAAGCCTGTCACTTCAAGACTGACAAGCTCAGCTGCTTTCCGGGACAAGACAAAGCTCAGTTGCATTACATAGTTTTCTGTATCCTGGTTGCTCCACTTCACCTCTGCTAAAAGATTCATTTCCTGAATAACATAGGAAAAAAAGAAAATTAAACAAAGCGATAAATAATATATACAATCGTATATATTCATTTTGGCTCATATTAACTTGTTCAGTTTATCAAGGTAGGGATATCCGACGCCTTGACATCTCTTTTAGACAAGGTTGTGTGGTCTGTCTGGTTTCTCTTCCCGCAACCCTTTGCCACGAGGTGGTTACACTTTCTTCACTTTCTCTTCACGGTCTGAAGTTTCTTTAGGATATGAAAACAAATAGTTCCTCTAATTAGTGGAGCCAGAAAAAGAATTGTTTAGTTGTATGAATGTATGTGTGTGCGTGTTAAAAGCTACCAAACTTGTTTGTTTATTGTATAATCCAAATATAATATACGAGGACAAGAATATTTAAAAGTAGAGAAGTGTGGTGTGGTGGGGGGCAGCAAAGCTTGCGGACGACTTGCTTTTGAATCGAACAGCTTTTGCTTTAGCCTGAAGCATTACGAATTTACGATCTAAAGGATTTCTGAAATTTAAGTGGACTCCTATCATTTACCAAAGGTTCTAATAAAGCTAAAACGAAAGGACCAAAAAACTTTGAAGAAGAAAATGACTTCGAAATTAGAGGCGTGAGGGTAGCAATGTTTAAAGAGACCAAATCACGTTTCCTTTAGAAAAAATCCAACTCATTGTGTTTGTCATCTCTTACATACATAAAGTTCATGTTGTGAAGTTAAGATTTAACACAGCTTAAAACATGTTTGCTTTACACTCTTTAAACATCTCCTACACACATATACAAACTAACAAAAACTATTTACATCCACATTTTGTGATTTTGTCTCGCAAAACTGGAAATCAATCGGTGCGAGAATGTTAACAGATATTTCCACATGTTATGTGAATGTCCTTCAGACATGCTGAGAGGCAACACCATGCCTATGATGACTATACCACTTCTTTTTCTAAAAGACTATTAAAAAAGTAAAAGGGATCATTTTTTTTTTGTTCAAAGTAAAAGGGATCATTTTAAAGCATATTCCATTACGGAAAGGAATTTCAACAAACAACCCAATAAATAATGATGGTTATACTTTTGCGTTAAAAGAGATCTGAATCCAAACAGTACTAGATTTACAGGCTTACCTTGAATAAGTAATAACAATGCTTAAATTAGCAAAACAAAAGATCAAAATTTAGAGAAGATAGAAAAGTAGAGGACCAAAATTCAAGTAGTAATTGATAAACCGTTGTATTCGGGATCAAATAACTTAACAATCTCCCAACACAGAACACAAGACGCAAGAAACAAGACCAAACTGGTTGACAATTTTAATAGGGGGACGTACGAAACACAAAACACATAAAAGAAACATAAACTTAAGAGAGTCGCTGCGACCCGACCATAGTAAACCCAACGAAAACTTCTCACTCAGCACTTGACCTCCTTCAGACCATGTGCAAAGTACAAAAATGTTGGGTTAGTTGCACCCTCCTTGTAGTAAGCAAAGACAATAGTGCTGTCATCGTGCATCCCCTCCCCAACAAAGCTACAAAATTGTATCAAAACCATAAATGAGATTTACATATCAACACAAAAAGATAATCAAATCTCCTCATGAACTCTTGAACCAATAACTTACAATTGGAAGTCCTTGAGCTTGGGGAGAAGGAACTTGGTAGCACCCTCAATACCCTTCTTGAACTCCTCTTGCTGTTCAGGGGTGAGCTTGGGTGTCAAAAGCTTGATGTACTTCTTGATATAGGCGATGAACCCCTTCTTGTCGTAGGTGGGCTGCTCCTGAAGTCTAAAGGTGTCGACAATGTCAACAACCTTTTCAACAGAGTCGTCAACACCCTCGTCCTCACCACCTTCTTCAGCAGATGGGTTGGCACCAATGTTAACCTCTACACATCCCTTGGTAGTCCACTGATTATAAAACCAAAAAAAAAATCAGAACAAAAGGATGAAATTTTGATGAACATTGAGTAAAGGGTTTAGATGATTGTACAGACCTTTCCTTCAACTTCCCAAAGAATACCATTCTCAATCTCCTTGTAAGGGAATGAGTCAGAGAGAAGCTCATCACCTGAAAATTAATTAATTAATTAATAAAAGGCAATCTTCAGCAATTATTATTATATTGTTTTTGAAAAAAAATCTTCAGGAATTATTAGCTCGAGTGTAGATTATAACCCCAAAAATCTTTAAATTATATTGAAAAAACAAAACTTTCTAGAAAATCCGCACAAATTGCATAAAAATCGAATAAAAAGCCCTAAAATTCAACGAAATTAACATTGTTATATAGCAACCAATCACAGATCTAATCAATACACTGAAACAAGAGATACGTCACTAATACGATTAGAACAATCGTTGGAGAAAACTACCAATTCGACGAGAAAAACCCTAAGATGCCATTACAGATCTAACGAAATTACAATTCGAAGCTGATTACATCGAAATCAGGATAAGCCCGATCGAATCGGAGATACAGAGAGACGCGATTGAGTAATGAATAGATTATAGAGATTACCGGTGAGAAGATCAGTGTACACCAACATGGTCGCTTATTGCTTTTTTTTTTTATTAAACTCTCACGAATCTATCTAGAGGATGCGGGAGAGAGAGACGTAGCAGCGACGAGGGGGTTGAAACGAGGTCGTACCTTTGCTATTTATAACCCGAGCGAAACGAGGGCTTCCGTTGGAGAACGGGAAAAATAGTATTCCTGATTGTGTAATTTTACCATTTTAGGCTTTATCCTTTTTCCTATTTTCTTATGGAAAAGGTGTAAAATAGTATTCGCCGGAAGGCTATACGGGTGGGGATTCGTCGGGCTAACCCATAACAATGAACAGATAGCTTCGTATAAAGCCCATGGGCTTTTCCAGGTAAGACAAAACTAGTTTCTAGCTTTTTATGTCACTCCTTTTGGTTACCACATCTATTTATCTTCATTGATATCTCTACAAATGTTGTGTTGTAGTGAGCACAGTCAGTGCTTCTGTATGTATTGCATTGACTCTATACATACAAGGGTTAAATAATTAGTGCAGTGCAGATTATGTATTACATTCCAACTGTATTGTGTTTCTTATCTATAAATTAGTAGGATTGGAAAACAAGTTTCAAGTAATATATACTCTTGGCATTACGGTTTCTCCTGCTCAAGAAACCAAAATCTTTTGCTCCATGAATTCTTGCAGGTCCACAAGTGTCCCAAGGAACAGAGAAAGCTTTAGTTGTTGGTCCAACTTTACCGCCAAGAAGCTTGTGGGTTTACCTTTTTCCTATTGAATGTTACTAATCTATATAAGAACTTTACTTCTACATGCTCAATAACAACTTTACTATTGTTGTCCATCTTTACCCATCTGTGTTACATAAATCTGTCAAGTGTTAACTACTGCTTTAATGGAGAGATACCTGATTAGTAACATCTTCAAATATTTTGATAACAAATCTATATTATAATGATATACTTTCAAGGCTCCTAAGTCTATCCATCTCAGCAAGTTTGTGGGCCCCGCGCGTGTTATTAGGGAAAACAAAAACGTATAACATTTTATAAGATTGAATGTTATTAATGAGTGATGAAATAGCACAGTGGTGTAAATTGGTGATGAGAAGTTGGTACCGCGAGTGCGCGGGTTCGAAACGCAGTGTTTGCATGTAATTTTTTTTTTTTAAATTTGGGATTTTCGGGATAACTAAAAGATTAGAGAGATTCAGAATGATTTTTTATGCTGGTTGTTGGGATACAAAATGGCTTAAAGATTTGAAACTTTATGAGACCATCTTAGATACTTTTATAAGAAAGGTTATCATGTCCTTACCTCCAATATCATTTCAATTCAGTTATAATCGTCAAATAAAATAAAAACATATTTTTTCAATAATAAATATTTATCCCGAACCATTCAAATCGGCCATAAATCTTATATACATCACAATTAAAAAAAAAAATATATATATATATATACAATATAATTTCAGAAAGAAAATTACACTAATAAACACATGTCCTTTTTTGTCTTGTCTCCATTAAATTATTATTTTTATATGAAAGCACTAATAACACTAATGCTTGATAAAATCACTAATAAAGGGAATGCTCGATAAAATCACTACGAAGATAAAATATGAAAATATCAACCCATATGAATTCGATGTTTATTCTTTTATCAGACTAATCAATTTGTGTGACTTCTAATGTTTCATTCATCACCATTATAGATAAGCCAGATAAACAAAAATTTTTAAAAAACCAACAAAGTCTTATACACAAAACTACACACAACACATCAACAATGTATCTAACTCCCGCGCTTGCGCGGGGACTATGCATCTAGTGATAATAACTTCTCAAACTTTATCGAGAATTTTCTGAAAATTTATTCATAATCAAACTATTCGTTTTCACAATCTTTCAATTATGGCTTTTTGTTAATGCCATCAAAATATAAACAATCGCCAAACCAAAGTAAATACAGATTTTTAATTCACCATTAAACAAATTATAGATTAACTAAAGGCTATTGCTATGAGAGGAGAGGTTGGCTTGGTGCGAGGGCTTCCTCTTCATCTTCTATGTTAGGTTTGGCATTTCTGTAAAACGCATAGATTAGGAGTTGCATTGTCCCAAGCAAAAATCCCATTCCATTTGGCACCTACACGCACAAAATATAAATCAGCTTCTTATCATGTAATTAATGCTAAAAACATATATTTTGTATTAAAAAGTTGTACTTACTAGCAGGAAAACATCATGCAGGAGTAAAGCGTAGACAACCCAAATCGCGCCGTTCAAGAAGAGAAAAAACGACAGCCAAAACGGCATGTACTTCACACTTCTCGTCTTCACAACTGTTTTCTGATAAGATCAATAATTCAAATGACCTGGATTAAAACGACACTATATACGTGTATATCAGAAAGACCATCTAATGATACTGTTTTCTGAGACAATGACATGGATATGTTACTTATACACGTGCTGAAAAGTACTCTCCATACAATTTTTCTTATTTTTTTTGTTTCTTTGTTAAGGTTGATTTGATAGGTTGTTGTCTCTGTGATTGTGTTATTACCATTTGTTCGTAGCAAATGTGTGTACTATATAGTTTGATAAAAAAAATGGTGAAGAGACTTACAATAGCGGAAAGCGGAGAACCATACATGATTATGTTGAAAGCAGCACAAATGAAACCCATTGAATTAGAACGTGTTTTTGCATATCCGAACGCAGTTCTTGTTCCCACAATCGTTATAACTGGGAAAACCACGTTCAACACTAGAACCAGTGCAACTGTTTTCCACTGAAAATGTGAAAAAAAAAAAAGAATTGAAAGAAGATCTAAATGAAAGATTTAAAAGTGGACCATGCATATCCTAGACATAATATTATCAATCGAAACGTCATACTAGTTTTTTTAAATAAATATGCTAGTCAGATCTGAATCTGAGTCATATCAATGCAACATCTTATCTGTCCATCATACTAAAATGCAGATTTCAACCAACAAAAAACACATAAGATCTCACTTTCACATGTATATAATAAAATGTAGGTAGAGATAACGTACAAATCTAGGTTTCGGGACAAAGAAGAGGAAGATGAAAACGTAGATGGATTCAGTAAGAACACCAAAGCCATTGACCGTAGAGACCAAGTATTCACCAGGTGTCACTATTCCGTAGTATGTCCACAACGACGAACCCATCAACGTGCAAATGTATGGCAAACACTCGTACTTCTCTGTTGATCTCCGTTTCACTATCTTCCAAAACGTCTCCCTAATATTAATTTAAAATTTTGTATGTAAATCGATAGTTAGAGACCTATTTCTTATAATGCGCGCAGTCATCTATTATTACTTATTAGATTGATCAAAATCAGTTAAAAATCATTTAGAAAGAGAGAACTCACACAGGAGAGAGGAAGACAAGCACCGATATCACATTTCCTGCATCGATCATACATAAACCAACTCAACTCCAAAGATATAGATTCCATCATATATTAAACTAACTCAACTCTTATGATATAGATAAAATCTGGTCATATGTGTAAATATGATCTTTTGATGTAGATTGATAATTTAAATCAAGTGAAAATAAGATGATAATGTTACCTATAACTCCAATGTAGAAACTTATTTCTGCCATATCTCTGGGATGAGATTTTGAGGAAGACAGAGAAAGAAATACTGATCCAAGAGGATGAGCAATATAGCAAATTATAAGAAAATGACTTTGTGTTTATCTGTCCAGATACGAGATCTATATATAAATTCTCCTTCAGACAGCAAAACGAGTTTGTGAAAAGACGTTAATATTAAAATAAAAGGCTCATGTAGCATGTGAATATATGATTAAGGATAAAAAGACTTTTCAGGTTGAAAAACCCTTTCCTTCTTACTCTTTTATACCCCTATTGAATTTGAAAGCGGTCATTTACTATAGATTTGGATGGATGTAATAGCACGAGGATATCTAATCTAATTTAGTGTAAAACTAAAACTAGTACATTAATCTTAAGAAAAGCACTAAAAATAACATTGATCCAGTACCTAACTGATTTTTGGGTAAAGTCCAGACCAGAACAGCTCCTCATTAGCTTTAGACCCAACACAGGATTATAAGAACACCCTTATCCATGAAAAGAAGAACACCCTTATCCATGAAAAGAAGAACACCCTTATCCATGATATGAGGATAAAGTACTTCTCAGAAAAAAATAAAAGAGAAGCTATTAGATGGATATTTCAAGTTTTGAGAATTTCATGTATTGTTTTACTAGTCTTTAGTATTTAGTTATTTTTAGAATCTTATCTTTATGCAGATATCATGGATGAAGTTGCTCAAAATTCGTTAAAACAAAATAAAATAACTTTCTATAGAGGTAGCACACACTTCTGATTTTATGCTTTAAGTCTAATGTTGCACAAGTAGTTTTCGATCATTATGGGTTCTCATGGTGCGTCTCCCCCGATACTAGGATGCACAACATTTGCTAGATATATAGTATGTGTTGTAAAGGTAACGTAGAGAAAACATTGATGATATGTGAGTACATGTGAAAGAGAGAAATGGATGTTAGTATTGTTAATTATACTATCATTGTTCAAGGGATGTGTTAGGCTGGTAATGTGGAATGAAGCCTTATGTTGTAACACATACCACAATGATAAGAAATTTTGTAGGCGAGGATGAAGCTGATGCGTTGTTTAGGAAATTGAAGGAAGATGGGTTCTTAACCAAATGAAAGCGTGAATGAGTAGATGACACCAGAAGCTGAAACTCATGAGAAATTAAAGTTAATTTGATGTTTCTGATCTCAAGCACATATTATGATGCAGTTGCAGTTTGGAGAGAGGGTACACATGTTAGATATGTCTTCATTAGCACATGTTATGATTATGCAGAAACTTAAATTTCGGTTCCCACAATGATGCATGATCTATTGTGAATATAACTTAAATTTTAACACTACTATTGTTGTAAATTGTATTTGCCATACCTGGTCAGCTACATAAGTTCTGTAATGATTCATTTTGTAAGAGATGTTATCTTGACAATTATAATTATTTCGTTGAAGACTTGTTTCTTTCTTCAAGATTCTGCATGGAACCAGAGTTGTGCGTTGGAATTTTGAAGTCAAATAGAGGGCCCCTTTCTAGACAAGTGCTCGAGTTATTTCTTAAAAATGTATGCATTAATGTATAGGACCTGTAAAGATTCGTCAAAAAGTTGTGGAGCCAGTGACTTGCAAAACTAGTGTTGAAAATGTAGAACAAGCTTTTAGATCCTTTATGACTGTTCTGAATCAAAGAGCAGAGTAACTACTCCAGCAAATGAGCAAAAGACAGAAAAATAAGAGCAGAATAGTCAAAAGTAATATTCACGCGTCAACTTTGACGTCGTCTTAGAAAAAATTCCAACAAGTAATTACGTAGCGCTTTCTCACGTCTCTCGCTACTACGTACTTCTTAAACACACACAAACTTTCTTTCTTAACCAGTTGACTCGCTTTTCTCTCTTTCCCTCTCTCTCTCTCTCTCTGAATCTCTCGGTAATGATGAACTTCAACGAGCAGGATCCAATGAGCATCCCCGAAGAAACCAACTCTCCTTCTCAAAGCTACGCCATGAGCAGCAAAATCATGCTAAGCGCCATTATAATTCTCTTCTTCGTCGTCATTTTAATGGTCTTCCTCCATCTCTACGCTCGCTGGTACCTCCTCCGCGCTCGCAGACGCCACCTCCGCCGCCGTAACCGCCGCGCTACAATGGTTTTCTTCTCCGCCGACCCTTCCACCGTAACCCCCACACGCGGCCTCGATCCCACCGTCATTAAATCACTCCCCGTTTTCACTTTCTCCGACGCAACACATAAGGATCCGATAGAGTGTGCCGTCTGTCTTTCCGAGTTCCAAGAGAGCGAGTCGGGTCGGGTCATGCCCAATTGTAAACACTCTTTTCATGTTGACTGCATTGATATGTGGTTTCATTCTCATTCCACTTGTCCTCTCTGCCGCTCTCTCGTTGAGCCTTCCATGGAGGAACAAGTTGTGATCACGATTTCTCCTGAACCGGTTTCTGCAATTGAACCGGGTTCGAGCTCTGGATTAAGGGATGATCCTCAAGATTTGGGGAGAAAACCGGCGGCGATTGAGGTCCCGAGGAGGAACTTCAGTGAGTTCGAGGACGAGTTGACTCGGAACTCGCCATTTAGGTCTCCGATGAGTCGGATGTTATCTTTCACTCGGATGTTGAGCAGGGATCGGCGAACTGCTTTGTCGCCCATTGCCGGAGCTCCGCCTCTATCGCCGTCGTCGAGTTGCCAGGTACGGATGAACGAGTCAGATATCGAGCATGGAGTAGAAGAGACTATGTGATTTTGCCACGTGGATGTTCGTTATTGGTTTTAATATAACAAGAAGTGAAGCTACAATTTATTACAGTATTGATAAGTCAACAAGCCTTTGTCGAGGGTGGAACACGTGCGTAATCCGACCAAACAATGAGTCAATAAGTAACATGTGTTACTAATAGATTTGAATCATTTGATAGATATTTTTGACATGTACATATATATGTAGTCAGTCAGTCGTCGATGTTGAATTTTATTTCCATTTATTTTTCTTTATTCTATTTTTTTTCTCTATAAACACGCAAGCAATTAGTTTCCAACAATGGAATTCATGTTTAAAGAGTCTTAACGCGGTAAGTACACTCAGAATGAGATTTATGGTGCTCAACACGACTACGGCATTCGATTTTGGACTCCAACTCTTTCAGTTTTAGTTACTTTATTTATTATTTTAGTCTCGTCTATAGAAAAGTAAACTTCATTGAACTATGACTCTGGGTTTCTACGCGTAAGTGGACCAAGTCTCGTGCCTCCTAACCACACCACATAGGGATGTTAACATGGGTTTATCCAAACTCATTGATAATGGGTTATGTTTTGCCCCATCTAAAACTAATTGGGATAAATATGGGTATAAAATTTTAAAATTCATATTAGATTGGGTAAATACAAAAGGGTAATGGATACCCATAGGTTTTAATTTTATAAACATTATGTTTTTCATTATTTTAATATCTTTTGTTTTAATGTATTAAATAAACCATAATTTTGTTTTTGCTATACAAACTAAAAGAATGAATTTATCCATCAGAACTGTAAAATGAGTTTTTTTCGCCAAAATCAGAAAATTGACTTTTCCTGCAAAATCAGAAAAACGATTTTTTTTCGCCAAAACCGCAAATACGTGTTTTCCCACCAAAACCGGAAAACATGTTTTCTCGCAAAAACATGTTTTCCCGCCAAAACCGGAAAATGTGTTTTCCCGCCGAAACCGGAAAAATGTGTGTTTCCCGCCAAAACCGCAAAAACGTGTTTTCCCGCCAAAACCGCAAAAACATGTTTTCCCGCCAAAATGTGTTTCCCGCCAAAACGGGAAAAATGTGATTTCCCACCAAAACCGCAAAAACGTGTTTTCCCGCCAAAACCGCAAAAACGTGTTTTCCCGCCAAAACCGAAACGTGTTTTCTCGCCAAAACCGCAAAAACGTGTTTCCCGCCAAAACCGAAACGTGTTTTCTCGCCAAAACCGCAAAAACGTGTTTCCCGCCAATACGGATTTTCCGCAAAACCGCGTTTTTCGTAAAATGAGTTTTCTGCAAAAAAAAATTCCAAAAAATCGAGTTTTTCTGACAAAATCAGAAATGCGTTTTCTCGCCAAAACCAGAAAATGAATTTCCGGCCATACTGGAAAAACTAGTTTCTAGGAAAAAAAATTCTGCATAATCTCTTTAGAACAAATAAAATAGTAGCTTGGGTACCCATGGTTTAACTTATATCCTACTGGGTTATTTTTTTTGGGTTTTAATTTAACTTTGATGTTTTTTGGTTTTCGCGGATAGAATATAAACTGGGTTGGGTTTTTTGTGGATTAGACTGGGTTGGGTTTTTTGTGGATTGGGCTGGGTTAGATTATTTTACCCATTTTAACATCCCTAACACCACAACGTGATTTTCAATTAATATACAGTATGTTGCAACTAATTCACTTCAAAAAGGGACTAACAACTTCGCACTATCTCCAACACCAATAATCATTTTTACGTTTCAATCTAATGTCCAAATCCAATCATTTCAGCTGAAAAAATAGTTGTAGTACATAAGTCCAAAAGTATAACAACTCGCACATATTGTTGTTAATGTTTGTCATTAAGGAGCATGCGTGAATGACTAATTGACTAGTTTTTATACCAAACTTAAAAGAAAAAAGAACACTAATCAAAGGTTGGTAAGGCTAATACAATAGGAAAAGTATGTAGATGAGAAAGAACACAAATAGGAGCATACAATTCCTGAAACTTTCCATTGTCAATTAGATGACGCGAAAGTCTGTTGTTTTACAAAAGAAAGACCCAAAAGTCCCAAGACCTGTGTTTAATAAAAGTCTAAAAGTAATTCACATGTATTGAGACTACTGATCTGTTTTTTTTTTGTCATCTATGGATTGCATTTAACGAAAATTAAAAGTACAATTGTTACAAACCATACTGGTATGACAACCATACCGATAAAACAACAACATTACAAAGAAGGACTACAACTAAAGGTAGGAAAAAGTAAAGCACAATCTTCAACCAAAAGACTTCCAAACTCCGTGCAAACGACAATCAAGCGATGGTTTCCAGAGAAACCGAAACGAGCGCAGATTAAGAACCATAAGAACCAAACAAAGACTTGAGGAAACCACAACCATATAGGCGTCACCACAATCACACATGAATCTAATCCGGCAGAAAACACTGATCTCTTATATATATTGCTGATCTGTTGTGTTCTTTTTTTCTTTTGCAATTTTTCTTTCTTTATATGTAATGTTTTATTTGCTCCGTTTAAACTTAGTTGTCGTTGAATAGTAAAATTTTCGTTTTAAACTAAATATCATTTTATAATTTCAATACAAAATATATTAATCTTATATAATATTTTATTTTTTTATTGGTTAACATCTTGTTAGGATTCTAAGTAATAATATTTTATATAGAAAATATGCAAAATTAAATATTTTTTAATTAATTTGTCTATACAAATTTAAAATGATTAACAAAATGAAACGGAGGGCGTATATATATTATACTTTAGTGGCTTTGGTGCTATATGTAAATGGACGAATAAAGTTGAATTGACACAACTTGAGTTACACTAAATATATATAAGAGATATCTATGAACCTAATAATAACACTTGGTGTCACATTATGTGAACTCTTTTTTATATGTTACCTACCTCATCAGATTGACCTTTTCGTCTCTTCTTGTTGGATCGGTGTGCATCTCATGCAGAACTGTTGATCTTTGAGATCTTTAACGAGACTTTCCTAGTCTGTCTTCTTTTGTGGTGGTGACTCGTCAGATTTGCCTTCTAGCTATTGGAGTTTTAGCTCTTTTCCAAGGTGAATGCATTGGTCTCGTATCTTTCCTTCTGTTACGATCACTGGGCAACTGAACGCTGAAAGGATCAACCGCTGTATAACACACTGGTTCCCAGAATTTTCTAATAAAGGTCTGGTCGTTTCTACTCTCTTCAAAAGTCAGTTTGTTTGACATCCTTTCTCCATACTCTTAAATGTCAAAAGGAGGGTGTAGGTCCTGATAATAGAATGAAGAAGAAAAAAACAGTAAATGCATTAATTAGATCTCTGACCTCAAGTGAATAGTCACATAAATGATAATGCCCAGAGATCTAATGCATTTTCTACATGTTGGCAATAAAACAACATTTGTTAACTATCATTTCTTTAGATATATGTAGCGTTTGTTTGTTTTAAATGGACGGTTACTATCATTTCTCTAAGAATATATCTAAGGATGCAAATTTCCAAGTGAAATTTAGAGAAGGATAAGGCCACCAAAACTTGTGAGGATTAGCAACTCAGATACTAACATGCAGTAAAATAAGAAGTATCAAGTCACAGCTTAGAGCATCATTAACCCCAAGAGGTTAATTTGGGTTCTTAATGAATTTTTAGTAATTAATAATAGTTAAGAGGTTGCACTTAAGAGACACTTAATTTGTTAGGTCCAATGGGGATTCTTATCTTGGGGGTTCTTAAGAAAAAAATGAATGAAGATTTTGCAATTGAGCAAACTTACAATAGGGTCATTCTTGAGCGCAGTCCTTGGCAAACTTGCATGCCTGCTTCACAGCGAGTACATTCAAAGCACTCAGATCTTGAATATCTCCTCACCTGAACACTTGAATCAAACATCGTTGAAACAGCTTAGTTGAAAATAAAACCATTGTTAACTAACAACATAGACATAAGCTAGTTTCTCTAGTAATCAAAACTATTGCAGCTAAAGGCCATAACATGGGAGGGACAGCTGTATAAGCAGATTTGAACCGCACACGTTGTTTCAGGAACTAACAAGTAACAACACAGCCTATGTGATTCAGAACTAGATATGGATCATTTCACACTCTCTCTCTTCAAAATAAGCACCCCTCTCCCTCTAAGCAACTCTCTAAGCAACATGGGTTAAAGATGCTCTCAGAACCTGCCTCTTAGCAAAAAAGAATTTTGTTTTGTTTTTTTTTTATTTTTTTCTGGGCGTAAGAGGTGACTTAAGACACAGTGATAAGTAACTTTAGTGCTGAATGATGAGCTGGCTAGTATAGTAGTATGAAAGAATGAAGAAGATGACATGGCACTATGTGAAGATGCGATTGGCCGTTAAAATTTAAGGAGACAACAACCTGAATTAATGATATACATGGGGAGTGTCTTCTTCATTAGGAATTGGCTTTTGAGTTGGTTTGTAAAGGATCCAAAGATATTATTCTTCTGGATATTAGGCTCAAGCTCGGGATATCTCGACTTGAGACTGTATTCTCTCTAGATACTTTCATCAATAATATTGTATCTTGGAGAAATAGGCATTTTAGGTGCATTCATTGAATACATTCACTTTATTTTGTGAACACAAATAAACAGTTAAACACATACATATAAAAAGATGAAATCAAAGTTAGAGCATTACTAGTGGAGGGTATCACGATTCACAACCAAAGTCTTTCATTGAAGATGCATGCCCCCTAAACTCTCATATGTTTGGGGCATCTAACAACAGTAATGATGTTTAATCCTGTTCGATTAGCTACGGTTATTAACTTAGCAAAAAAAAAAAAAAAGACTAATATTTACTTCGAGAAAAGCTCTTATGTACGTAAGAATTTATCTATACGACACACAAAAAGCGGCTTCTATTGGGCCATATTGGGCCGACGTATGTAAACGGGATTTGTATATGGGCTTAGGGTATCTATTGTACGTGTATATAAGGCATTAACCTCTGTTACTTGATGAATAAGAAGGATCGTTATACACTTCACAACCTTCTTGACATGGTATCAGAGCTCTCAACCTAAAACTGCAACAAGGTTTTGAACTCATCGATTCTGAGGTTTCTTACTCCGCTGCAAGGTTTCTCCCTTTGAAAACACTGCTTTGAAACTATGGAAACAGGATCGGCACTTGCTACTACGAACATGCCGGCACGACGACGAACAATTTCCCCCTACGATTTAACTTCAAGTGATAACCCAGGCACTCTCATCTCCAAACCATCACTGCTTGGACCTAACTACGATGAATGGTCCACCAATCTTCGATTGGCTTTGAAGGCGAGAAAGAAATTTGGGTTTGCAGATGGTACAATTCCCCAACCTAGTGAAGATTCTGATGATTACGAGGATTGGATTGCTAATAATGCACTTGTTGTCTCTTGGATGAAGTTGACCATTGATGATAAGATATCGACTTCCATGTCTCATATAGACGATTCGCACGAGCTGTGGACTCATGTCCAGAAACGATTTGGAGTTAAGAACGGACAACGTGTTCAACGGCTCAAGACTGATTTGGCGAACTGTCGCCAGAAGGGAACACCCATTGAGACTTACTATGGAAAACTGTCTCAACTATGGAAAAGCTTGGATGACTACCAAAAAGCCAAGACTATGGAGGAAGTAAGAAAGGAACGTGAGGAAGACAAACTGCATCAGTTTCTCATGGGATTGGATGAAACTCTATATGGACCAGTGAAATCATCGTTGCTATCTCGGGTTCCTCTACCAACACTTGAGGAAGCCTACAACACATTGATTCAAGATGAAGAATCAAAGCTTCTGGGACGTCTTAATGAAGAGCGAACAGATGCAACGAGCTTTGCTGTTCAAACCAGCTCGCGATCGCGTTCTCTCAACGATGCAAAAGGGTCCTATGAAAACAGAGTGTGTTCTAATTGCGGAAAAAAGGACATACCTCTGAAAACTGTTTTCGGTTAATAGGTTATCCTGAGTGGTATGACGAGAAGAATAAAAACAAACCCGGTGCCTCTCGTGGAAACTCAAACTCTGGAGTCAATCGGAACTCATCTTCTCAAACGAACACTCAACAAGGAAGAGGCAACAGCTCTGGTCGTGGGTCTGCTCAGGCAAATCACGCTCTGGCTAGTACTGCTACTGCATCACCTCTTCTCAACTCTGCTGACCGCACAGGACTCACAGGTCTGAGTGATGATCAATGGACAACTCTGGTGAACATGCTCAATGAAAGGAAAGCGCCACCTTCAGAAAACAGAGCAGGTATGAGTTTCATTGAATCTTGGATTATTGACTCAGGTGCAACTAATCACATGACTGGAACTTTTGATTACTTGACTGATGTTGATAATATGGCTCCGGTTTTGATAAAACTTCCTGATGGTCGGTTTACTACCTCAACTAAACAAGGGAAAGTTCGATTGAGTTCTTCTCTGATTCTTGAGGAAGTGTTCTATGTAGATGGACTTCATTGTCATCTTATATCGGTCTCACAGTTAACTAGGATGCGTGGTTGTGTTGCTCAAGTAACTGACAGACTTTGTATTCTCCAGGACCGCATTACGAGGATGCTGATTGGTGTGGGTGAACAGGAGAATGGGCTTTATTTTTTAGAGGAATGGCAATGGCGGCAGCAACACAAAGCACAGGATCACTCTCGTTCGATGTATGGCACAGTCGTTTTGGACATCCATCCTCTAAAGCTATGAAGATGATGCGGTTTTCTGATTTTAGTACTACTGTTTTTGATTCAAAGAAGTGTGAGATTTGTATTCGAGCAAAACAAACACGAGATTCTTTTCCTTTAAGTATCAATAAGACAAGCTTTGCATTTGAATTGGTTCACTGCGATCTATGGGGCCCGTACAGAACCACTGCTGTCTGTGGGTCTCGATATTTTTTCACTATCTTGGATGACTACTCAAGGGCAGTGTGGATATATCTATTACCTTCTAAACGTGATGCACCCACACATCTCAAAAATTTCATTGCCCTTGTTCAAAGACAATTTTCGACTCAAGTAAAGATGATCCGCAGCGATAATGGATCTGAGTTTACTTGTCTCTCTGATTATTTTGCGGCACACGGTATTATTCATGAGACCAGTTGTGTTGGAACACCTCAGCAAAATGGTAGGATCGAACGGAAGCATCGACACATTTTAAACACTGCTCGTGCACTTCGTTTTCAGGCCAATCTGCCCACTGAATTTTGGAGTTATTGTGCTCTCACAGCAGGTTACTTGATAAACCGAACACCAACAGCCCTGCTTAACGGAAAAACTCCATTTGAGATGATCTACAACAGACCACCACCATTAGAACATCTTCGCGTTTTTGGTTGTGTTTGTTATGTGCATAATCAGAAACATGGTGGTGACAAATTTGAAACTCGAAGTCATAAGTCTATTTTTCTGGGCTATCCCAATAGCTTCATCTGACAGTAAAGAGATGACATGATTAACCTCATGGTGCTATATCTTTCTTTCTTTTTGGGCTTATCTAAAAAATGATAAGTCTCATGAGCTTCATAGCAAAGCAGGCAACTTGTCTTATATGTCAAAACAATTATTGAGCTTCAGAGCAAAGCAGGCAACTTGTCTTATATGTCATCACAGATTCACAATGATTTCTGTTTGTGTTTGTTTGTTTATGTCTTAGATTCTTTATCGTGCTTTTATCCAGGCATGGAGTCATGGATGTTAGCCACAAGTGCTGTGTATCTTTTTATTTCTTGTTTTGTGTACCAAAGACTACGTGTTGATCCTTGAGTAGACGCAACACCAAACATATCATTGTGACTTCATCACAAAAACATATTCTAGAGTACAATCTGTTGGCCGTTCCTTCTCTTGAAATGCGAGGTATTAGTAATCATCAAATATTACGTCCCTTTTAGAAGAAATTGAGGTAATATGGCATAGTTTTAAAAGGAATCAGATTCTAAAATAGCATTTTGTTGAATTAGGTACGTGGCATTCTAAACTATTGACAGGATGGATTTAGAAAGTATTGGGCTTCGTGGACTGGAGAAAAGAAAACCTTTTTGTAAGAAAATTACAAAATGTGCCGATTAAATTGAGATGCATCAGTAAAACTTAAAAGTAAGGGAACCAGTAGAGGTCTCTTCACTCGTAGTAACACTGTAACAGTGATTCTAATTTTGTACACCAAAATTAACTAGTTATACGAGAGCATGGAGAAATACGAACTCGGAGCTGAAGATCGACCCAGGGAATAGAGTGCTAGAAGCACCGTTCACCGCCTAATGAAAATGGCGGCATGATTGATTGATCATCAGTTGGATTCACTTATACATTACATTCTCGACTTTATCACGAAATATTTGACTTGATCAGCAGTTATAAAACACAAACGGTTGCTGTTTTCTTACAGTCGACCTTTCCGATTAGTTTGTCGGACTTTTGGTACATGATCGATGGAGATGGTATCGTGAATAAAATGCCAAGAAGATTTAATCGTATGAGTAACGTAAACGTAGTAAAACGAAAACCTTGCATTTGAGAAACGATGCATGACAAACGTGAGACGTTCAATGCATAGTACGCAGATTAGCCATTACCCTGTCAGACTTTTTTTGTTTCTATTTGAAAAGTTAATGTGTAAAATTTAAATTTATGTGTTCTATTTTGAAGTTACAATATAACTAAACATGTAAAAATATAAGTGGTAGAATCTATTAATTAAGAAAAACAAACAAATGCAGATATTTGTTATTCCTTAAAGAATATTATTAAGTTATAATTGTTTTCTCTATAACAGCTATTAAATTATAATTGTTTTATAATATTTACTACCACTTGATTTTTTTTTAAAATGAGTGCTGTGAAAAATAAAAATTATTTTAATTAATTTTTTAAATCAACTGATCAAATTTCTTCGAAGCTCAACTAGTCCTAACCGTTAGTTTACTTTCAAAATCTCCAATGTTCTTTCTTCAGTTCACTTTTTTTTGACATCCTTCAATCTTTTAATTTTCCAGATAAATATCATACAGAAAATGATAGAATACCATATCACTTGTAATAACTAATAACAATATTAGGACGCATTGATTACACACGCTCGTGGACGCAACACTCCAAATTCGACTAAAAAGTTCTTGACATTCACATTGTCATACGTTTTCATCGGAAGAACAAAAAAAAAGCTTCAAGTTTTGTCGTTATTTGGATTAAGTTTGTTGTAACCGCCGTGTATCAAGGAGCATATGACTATGCGTATAAATTTTAATATAAAATATTTATTTATATATTTTACCCCGATTTTATACTATAGAGCTTTTCTCTCTTTTTGTCAACTTGTATAAAACATTTATTTGGCCTATAAATACGCTTCACCACCACCACCGCAGTCATCTCCCTCTTGAAACCTAGCATCAGAGAAAAGGAAGCAAACAGAGAAAATGTGTGGCGGTGCTGTAATATCCGATTTTGCCCCTAGCATCACCAGGGCCAAGGGTAGGAAACTCACGGCGGAGGAACTCTGGTCAGAGCTCGATGCTTCTGCCTGCGACGACTTCTGGGGTTTTGACTCCACCTTCAAGCTTCAACCCACCAACCAACAAGGTATTATTAAATTGATCATACAAAATAAAATCATGGTAATATTGAGGAATATAGACATTTGAGCAGAATCAATATTTGGATCATACTAATTCATTTTCAAGATTAATAAATCTATCAATAACAATTTTCAATAATTTGAAACTAATATTATTCTAACAAATCCATGTTTAAGTTTATAATATTCATTAGTACATAAAGTTATGTTAAATATAAAATTAACTTACTGAAAGATGTATAAATTTATTTTGAAATATGAAGAATATGATTAGATAAGAGATTAGCTCTTTATTTTTGGGGTTGGTAATGACATTAATTAGGAATATTTGCTATATGTGGGGTTATAACTGTACTTTTGCATCTTAAACTTTTGAAGTGACGTTGAAAGAAGAAGCGGCGGGTAAGGAGAAGGAGCCGACGGCGACGGAGAAACGGAGGAAAAGGAAAACCGTTTACAGAGGAATACGTAAACGTCCCTGGGGAAAATGGGCATCAGAGATTCGAGACCCAGAAAAAGGCGCTAGAGTCTGGCTTGGGACGTTCAACACGGCGGAGGAAGCCGCCATGGCTTATGACGTCGCGGCAAAGCGCATCCGCGGCGATAAAGCCAAACTCAACTTCCCAGATCTTCTTGATAATCCTCCTCCAGTGCTGCCACCATCTCCAAGACTAGAAGATCAGCCTCCGGTGAAGAAGCTCTGTGGTTTCTCCAAGAGCGAGTTGACTCAGTCTAGTTTCCCGGTTGAGTGCATTGGGTTCGAGAATGGAGATGAGTTTCAGAACGTGAGTTATGGATATGAACAGGACTACGATCTCAAACAGCAGATATCGAGCTTGGAGTCTTTCCTTGAGCTGGACGGTGCCACGGTGGAGCAACCGAGTCAGCTCGACGAGGTTGATATATGGATGCTTGATGATGTCATCGCGTCGTATGAATAAAAACATAAAGTAATGAGTGAAAAAAATAAAAGTCTGATACATAACTGCCGTTACTTTTTAAGGTTTTACTGTTGCATGGAACAAGTGGTTACATGTGCTGTGGTTTGTAATGTGTGTGGGGGCGTTGCTGTGACTCAAATCGAGCGTTATATTATAAGTTCCTGGTATGGTTATTTTATTTTATGGAAAACAATTACTCGATGTTGTGTAAATACATATTTGTAATAAATACAATAAGTTTATTTTTCCCCAGTTATTACACGAACCAAACCCTTAAACAAAACAAAAAAAAATGTTATTACACGAACGTATTATGCTGATGTGATGGTCTTATTGACATCCTTATAAGAAAATTTTTCAATCGAAAACGAAACAAGCTAAGATAACCAAGTACACCAAAATGTAACAATTTGATCATAGCGATGAACTAAAGTATAAACCAAACATCCGTTTCCACTTAGGTAAAGAAAATAGGCGGATCCTTAGGGAGAATCTTTAGAGAAATATTAATTTTATAATCAATGGGTCCTATAAACAGTTAAAGATTTTAGAATATTTGTATTCCATACCTACAACATTTACCATATTTGCATTTCATACCTAATTTTCCCACAATTTTTTTTCCTCCATCATCACTATTTCCCAGCAATATTTAGACATTTTCTTAATTACTACATTCTTCTTGTATTTTTAGCCAATTCACCCACGATTTTAAGGATAAAATCCTTATGTAAGGATTGATCCTTACACTATTCGCGGATTCCACTGTCACGTGGCGGTCCGTGAGTAATCAATTTTTTAAAGAAAAAATCTGAAATATCCTTGTATAATCTGAAATACCCTTTTTTCTAAGGATTCCCCCAAAGATCCGTTATTACGGATGCTCTAAGGGACGGCCATCTCTATTTCTTTTTCATTGCATAAATGCAACTTTTATGAAAATAAATATGTTAGAAAATCAATATTGATTAAAAATTGGGATATTTAAATAAGAGAAAATGATTAAAATAGCACTAAATTTTTTTTTGTCACAAATATAGCACTTAAGAATAAAAATGACCAAAATAACAATTAATGTTTTAACAAAAGAGATAAATATACATTTATATCTCAATTATAAATTAATTTAGACATTAAGGTTAGGGTTAAGGGGTGAGATTTAGGATTTAGGGTTTAGGGTTTAGAGTTGGAAAATGGGGTTCTGGGGATAAAATTTCAATTTTGAAAAATAAATTTTTTTAAAAAATTTCAAAAGATAAAATGCTATTTTTGTCATTTTAGTTTTTGAGGGCTATTTTGTGATATAAACTTAGAAATGTGTTATTTTGGAGATTTGACCTTTATATAATACTCGATACACACAACTTGACAATGAAAAGAGTTCATAAAAATGGTATAGTCTCTCAAGAGTTTACATCCTTTTTTCTCTTTTTTATTTATTCTCATTGGTAAGATACTTATTAAGAAACTCAATAATAATGATGCTCTTATCATATGAACATTTTGAAATTGAAATATCTTAAGACTTTTAACAACTTAAAAAGAAACAATAGCAACAACTTACAAATGAGATAAATTTTGAAACTTGAAGAGATATATAACTTTTTGAACGTAAATTACTATCATTTCATAAACTTGACAATTTTAAGGGTTATAGACTTAATTCAGCGATTAAAATAAATCATCTGATAAACATATATTGTAAATATGTTTCAACTGTAAACCAATCGTATCGTTTCTCTAAATGTGTCTTACGGTACATGTATATGATTAAATAAAATAATGTTGAATGGTTTAGATGCATGAACCTTGAAGCCTAGTTGAACAAAAAAGAATGAAAGTGGGTCCTTATCATGTTTCAAAGATTGACAGAATCTATTAGTTCCGTGAGATTGTCTATTTGTTTCTCGTCTAAGAGAATCATTGGTAATTTAATAATCAGCGGATTTATTCGGTGTGATTGATAGTTCATTCAGATTCAACCGAAAATGTCATCTAATGGCGTTTGCTTAACTAATATATATCACCACAAATTCACAAGTTCTATTGTGCCTATGAGATTACAACAAGTTACATTATTATGTTTAAAAGTAAGGTAACTTGGTCGCTAGATGCTTAATTAGGCGAGCCTAAACCTGATCAGTCTTTATTTAGTTACATTCATGTAGCTGATAATAAACCAAAGCTCTGGAACAGTATATGGAAAATGTGGAACACACTCACACAGTGATATTCCAGATCACATAAGCAGATAAGCTCTTATAGATATATATACTGTATAGCAATTGGAACATGTCATTATGCTTTAAACAAACTAACTTGTTTAACATGGTCCATATTCTGACCATCTCTGTATTATTGCTTTTCTCCAGAAGTCTCAAACTTTGTCATTTTCTCCCCACTTGGAATGATCTAAAATGATTCGCATTTATTTGACTTACAAACAAATAATATAATCAGTACGTGCATATTATATGTAGGATAATGTTAATATATACTGTAGTATATATGTAATATGTATAGTGTATTGTCAAAATACATTCCATTATGTATATATATTGTTAATGTATCCACCCGCTTCGGCGATCAAGTAAACTTATAACCTTTAAAAAAATAGAGAAAATTATTAGAATGATACACAAAACCTTGTATATGACTAGAATAGTATATATTTTCTAAAAATTACTAGAATTTTTTTAGACTCCTAGTAAATTACAATAAACACCCTTGTTTAATTTTGTTACTATTGATACAAATTTTAATTATTAAATCCACATCATAATTTGACAATCCACGTCACTAACTAATTTGTGTCATCAGTTACACTGGAAAATCAACAGTCCCATATCTCCGGTGAACAAAAAAAAAGTCTTAATGTTACATTTTTCTCTGTCACAACTCTCGTTAAACCCTAACCGATTACGAAATCCCGAAATCATCTCCGTCACAACTAATACTCTCGTTTCAAACAGTGTTTCCGATATCTTAAATCATCTTCGTCGACCTCGTTAAACTCTAACCGTCTCCGATATCATCTTCGTCGACATCCTCTTCTCCGCAAAAGTTTCGACGTAATCGTATCTACGACATCATCTTCTCATCTTCTCTGGTATGTTGTGCCTGAGTTTGATTTACGTCGTGTCTGAGTTATAGATTATGTTGTTACTGAGTTATTGTATAGTGTGGCTGAGTTGAGTTTGATTTATGAAGTGGCNCTCTGGTATGTTGTGCCTGAGTTTGATTTACGTCGTGTCTGAGTTATAGATTATGTTGTTACTGAGTTATTGTATAGTGTGGCTGAGTTGAGTTTGATTTATGAAGTGGCTGAGTTATTGATTATGATCCGACTGAGTTATTGATTATGTTTTGGCTGAGTTATTGATTACTGTAGCTGAGTTATACATTATGTTGTGGTTGAGTTATTTATTATTTATGATTTGGCTGAGTTATTGATTATGTTTTGGCTGAGTTATTGCTATGGTGGCTGGGTTATTTATTATGTTGTTGCTGAGTTTTGTTTCTATTGCGGCTGATTTATCTATATATGTGTTTTAGGATCAGATGGCTATTTCTGAAGATCAAGCACGAGATTATCCTCCACGACTTTACGCTGAAGGGACTTCTAATCTAGAAAATAAAGAGATTAATCACAATTTGCAGATGGGAGATTTTCCTAACGTCAGAGAAGCAATAGGACGGGATGTGTGGGATCACATGAGGCAGGGTCCTCTTGAAATTATTGTGAAGCTAGCTGAACGCAAAAGCGTGTGGTCTGGTAGGAATGTCCACTATCTACTATGTCGACAGCTTCGAGTATACTTGAAGGAGATTTGGAGTCTAGTTGGTGATGAACCTATCAGGTTTAGCTTACTCGAATTTGGTGAGATCACTGGGTTAAACACAGATCCAGTGCCAACAGAAAGTTTTGAACATGACCAATACAAAGCGTTTTGGGAGGAGTTGAATCTGCCGCTTGGACTGGGACCCAAGTTAGATGAACTGAGGGCAGCATTAGAGGTATGTCCGGCCTGGAGTTTTGAAAAGCGTAAATGGTTAGGGCTGTTACTTCTTCAAGCCATGGGACTTTATGCTTTGCATCATAATTCTAGGATACCGTTTGAAAGTGCAAAAAGAGTATTCGACGATGAAGCCATGATGACGTATCCATGAGGGAGGACTGCATACGAAGTTCTTGTTGACTCTATTAAGATGTTGAATCCACAAGGAAGGACATACACCATAAGCGGTCTGAAGGACGTGTTGTTGGTTTGGGCGTATGAATCTGTCATTTGTTTTGGGGAGCGTTTTGGGAGAGTGGTCAATGAGCAAGAAATTCCACTTTTACGATGGGGTGGAAAGCGTACACGTTCAAGTTTTGATACTGTCATTACTGAGGAGATTAAAAAACATGACGAGGTAAGGTGTCAACTGATTTATTATTTATTTGTTGGCTGGGTTATAAGTACTTATGTACTTAAGTGGCTGGGATTTTTGGTATTAGTTATTTGATGGCTCAGTTAGCATGTGTAAAGTGTCTGAGTTATTAGTTATTTTGAGGCTGAGTTATTAGTTGTTTTATGAACACCAACAACCCATCCACCATATAAACAATATCTCAGCCTCTTGGTATTAGTTTTGATGGCTGAGTTAGTATGTACATAGTGGCTGGGTTTCTTGATATTAGTTATTTGATGGCTGTGATAGTGTTTATATTGTTGCATGGTGGCTGGGTTTTTGGTACTTTGTGGCTGAGATATTAGTACTTTTACAGCTGAGTTATTATGTATTCGGTGGCTGATCTTGTAGGTGCGCGTGAGAAAAATGGTTATGAAGGACTCCGTAGAAGAGATGTTTCCTAAGTGGTCGGATGAAGCAGCTGACCCGCAACTCGTTAACTTGATAACAGACATATATGCAGGTCGGTTTGTTAGAGGTTTTTGGGGAACACAGATTAAACACAAACAAACAAACGCAAAGGTTTTTGGTGTTTCGTCAAAGGCTGAGCCACCCATTAAGAAGCAGAAGAAAGTGAGCAGCTTCCAAGAGGATGAAGCTGATGTGGAGGGAAATAGTGCTTACGAGAAGGAAGGTAAGGATGATATTAGCCAAAATCTGATACTGTTGAAAATGATGTATACTCTGGATAGAATTGACTCAAAAATAGACAGCCACGAGACCAACTTCGAAAACTTCAACGAGCGGTTATGCAGAATGGAGTCCAGTTATACGAAC